TGTCTAAGTGCAGCTGGCCTCAGTTCCTCTATGTAGAAGGACAGAGGAATCCAGGGAGGCCCTAATTATCACAAGGGCCTTATGGAGAGCAAGTTGATCTTAAATTCCCTTGAAAGTCCAGTCTACTGGCAACTGACCTTAAGAGACCCCTGGTTAGTGACATCAAATAAGGCTTTATTATATTATTCCAAATAATATAGTTTTATTATTATTATAAACAAAACACCAACAAGAGACCTGGTAATATCTTTGGAGGTGTGAGAGTACACCAGAGAAAAAATCTTTGCAATAAAGCAAGATGCTTAGAAAAGAGGCGGGCGCTGTTTCAAAGCCACGCAAGACAACATGACCAAGTATCCAGATGATATCATCAAAGTTAAAGCAGAAAGTGTCTTGGATAATGTCTTATGGAGTCTCTGAGGAAAGAGAGAGGGGAAGAGGAGTAGGGAGAAGTAGGAGAAAGGTTCTAGAATGACAGTGCTAGCCTAGCCTAGAGAGGTGGAGCAATAAGAGATGACACAAACACCAAATCTAGAGAAAGAACAATGGTATTGAGCTAGGGGGAGGTGACGTCTGAAAATTTTCATTGGGAATAAATGCATTTGATTTCAAACACTGAGATAATCCAACATCAGTATGTATGTATGTTGGCTGGGAAGTGGGGCTTGATTGTCATAAATACTAGCTATTCCAGACATGGTCAATGCCATACATGGAAGAGTGAAGTCCCACAGAACTGGAGTGACAGCTTCTCTATCCTCCATTGGCTTCATGTCCTTGAGCAAGTAAGCTGCTTAACTCTCTGAGATTCAGTTGTAGCAGATAGTGAACTGTCACCATGCGGTCCCAGAGCTGCAAGGAAGACAGTGATCTGAGCCCCAGAAAGCAGCCTGGCTTCATGCTACTTACCACAGCAAGCGCTCAGTACAGTGTTGACTGTTATTCTTATGTATTGAGCCTAGCGTGTGTTAGCTAAATGTTTTTAGCATTGTATGATTTCATCTTCTGTCTCTCTCCACCCATCCACCTGCCAACCTTAATCTCTCTTTCTTCTGTCCTTTTCTTCATCTCTCTTCCTATCTATTTTCTTCTTTCTTCATCCTTTTTATTAACCTACCTTCTCATTTTCTTCTCCATATATCTCAAATTTTTGTTTCTCTATCTGTCCACACCAATCCTTTTGCTCTTTCCATCTTTCTCTCTCCATTTCTCTTCATCCATCCCAGATATCTCTCTTCTTTTTCCCTCCCTCTCTTGTTCCCCTTCTGTCCATCAACTTTCTTCCTTTTCTTTACTTTTCCATTTCTTAGATTTCTGGTGTGGAATTTTTTCCTTTTAAATCAAGCAGTCTTTTCCTATGCAGCAGAAAAGATGACCCCTGCTGTCTCCAGACAAAACTACTTCATAATGTTTTAAAATCTCAAAACTTTACTTTCATTGTAGCTAACAGTACACTCTACTGAGTCAAATCATCCAAGGAAGCACTTTATGATAATAACCCATTTCCAGTTCAGTTTCCTCCTCCAGAGCCACCACTTTCAACCTTTTAAAGCTGATTAGCTTTGTGTTTATCTCTGAATACATAGTGTGGTTTGAATTTTCATTTTTCAACATTATATCTTGAGTTCCCTCTAGGGAAATTAGATGATCCACTTTACCAGACACGTGTTCATGCAAGAAATAACTTTCAGGGCAGTTAAGTTACTTTGGGGTTAGAAGTCCCCTCAGTCATGATATCATTATGATTGTGCACATGTCCTCCTAGTGGAGTCAAGTAGTTAGCTTACTATTTTTCCTTCACATGTGACATCCTTTTCCCTGGAGTGAATATATCTCTCTTTCTTTCGCTTGGTTTTCTATGAAATCATCACTAACCCCATCTCCAATTCTCCAGTGGTCTCATTCTCCTTATAAGGTTTTTAGTTCTTCTTTGATTTTTATCCTCTTTTAGATGCCTTATTCAGAGCCCTCTATCCCACCACAATATGGTTGTGGTCCTCAGGTTTGGTATACAGATAGAACCGGGGACCACTCTTGTTTGCCATCTGAGAATTTTCTTCATCTCCTGTGTTCACTTCTTGCCTGTGTCCCTCATTTTCTTTATAGTTTTATGCACTTTGGTAGACCATATCCTGAAAGAAGCTTTCTGAGAAAATGTTTGTGGGGAGTATTGTTTTAAAATCTTAAACATACAAAAATATTCATCATAGCCTTACAGTTAATGAGGAGAAATAAATTCTGAATTATTGGATTCCAATTCTACATTGGAAATGTAATTTGGAAAGCATTGTTTAACAGTCTTCTGCTTCCTCAGCGTTGGTTTTGAGAAGTTCAAATGTATTTGTGAATTGAGTTTTTGTAGGTAATCTAGAAGCTGATTACACCCAATTTTCTGAACTCTTACGGTGGCATGCTTTGGGACAGGCTGAGTTTTATTGATTATGTTAGGCAAGATGAGTCCTTCCACCTGGAAAATGATATTTTATCCATGGACTCTCTGCTTTCTCGTTCCTCTTGCCCTCTCTTCTAGAGTTTCTACCATGTCTGTGTGGCATCATGCTGGCCTTCCTCTTCTAGCACCACAAACTTTCTCCTCTGTCTTTTTAACTGAATGTCGAGAAGATTTGGTTAACCTTCTTTTCCAATACTTGTAAGTTTTCTTCCATTAAATTTCATTAGATAATCTGTCATCTCCAGTTTTCCTTTTATATAACGTTCTTTTCTCGTTTCATAGATACAATATATTCTGGCTGAGAATACCAAGATGCTTTCTTTAAATTTTCCCTCTTCATGTTTTTTTTTGTATTTCTTGTTTCTTTCATTACTTCACAATTTTTCATACTGTCGTCTTCCATCCTCTTTCTCCTGGCTGTGGTATAGCTCCATAAGAGTTCTTTGTTTATTATACCTCTATCTTGGTTATGTGTATATATTTAAGATTAGATACTAACAACATTCACCATGTGATTTTGTGTTACTAGAGCTGGCAACAGGGGAGGTTAGCATCCCACAGTCAGCTGCTACGGTTTTGTTTAGCATCCCTGAAGTTCCTGCAACTCTTTCCTTTTGTATTGAGTAGATGCTTCAGAAAAGGGTCTTCTGTCACCTGCTTTGATGGTGAGGGACCTTCAGGAAGTGTGCTAGGAGTTGAGTCACATCAGAGACAGACCCATGGGTTTTGGCATTGAGTTGTGCCTTTGTTTTTAGGACTTCACTATAGCTAATCTTTTCCTATAGGAGACCTCTGGTAAGCCCCTCTATAGAAGAAATCTCTAGTCTGTTGCCAAGTCCAAGAAGAAGGGAAGTGATGTGGTATTTACATGACTCTTAAACATGCTTCTTCTGGTCCTCCTTCTGGTGTTAGCTTTACTATATGTAAAGAGAACTCTGTCCTAAGTATAGCTGAGTCTGTTTGAAATCTTGTCAGCAAGAGCTTCCCAGATCTAATTAGTCTATTGCTCATCAGTCAACGAAAGGTTGCTGCTGGATATAATCTCTTTATTCTCTATTCTGTTTTTGTTCTTGTTGTTTCTGGTGTGTGTGTGTGTGTGTGTGTGTGTGTGTGTGTGTGTGTGTGTGTGTGTTAGCTGGTCTTAAGGAGCAACCAAAAGAGAACACATATCCTCAATTCCTTGTGCCCCCTCTGTGTCCCAGCATCTACATGATGTCCTCCAAAGAGCTCTTAACATGGCACTAGTCCTGTCATCCGAGTTCTCTCAGGAGCTGGGTCACCTCCTTGTCCTCGTTTTAGTCAGACTGGGACTATGATTGACAGTGACCTGAAAGTCATACAGAGAGACCTTTTCCAAGAGAAGGGAGTGAATGTAGCTGTGACAAGTAGCTGTGCCCCAGACTCAAGGTACCTACCTATCTTTGCCCTCCAAAAGATGAGGATCTTGAAGGGAAAGGATTTTCTTCAGTTGCTTTGTGTATGTGGGTGTGCACACACATACATGCATGTGTGTGTGTGTAGGGGGGAGGGGTTGGGTGCATGAGACATTTAAGCACTGCACATGTATTTAAATCTGAAGTTTCTGTTACTCAGTTACTTTCTACCTTACATTTGAGATAGGGTCACTCATCATTCAGAGGCTGATTGGCTGGACAGTGAGTTCCAGAGTTCTGCTTGTCTCCAGGTCACCAGCACTGGAGTCACAAATGTGTACCACTGCACCTGTTTTTTTATGTAGTTGTTAGGAGTCCAAACCCAGGTACCTATGCTTGTATGGCAAGCACTTTGTCAACTGAGTCATTTCCCATCTTTGAATTGTAATGAAAAACATTGGCACTATTTCAGAAGCAATAGCAGAAGCACCTCCCTTGGTGTTTTCCTCCACTGTGACCCTTAGTGACATCTGTCCCTGCTTAATGCCCCCAGATAAAGTTCCTAATATCCTTGCCCACTGATGTGTAGGGGAAGCCAGGCTTCTGGGCAAGTTCTGCTCCTGGAGAGGAGAGGAAGGGATGAATGAAGAGGCTCACCAAAGTCTGGACACAGGACTTTAACAGTGCCTACAGGAAAGGACAGTGCCATTCTTTGACATGGGGACCAGTGACGACAGATGTGCAATATGTTTTGCTTTGACAGTTGAAGTCCTGAAGGAAGGAGATAGAGTGTAGAGAGCTGATCTGCCTGCATCATTTGTGTGGTCACTCTTGAGTCCCTTGGTGATTTCAGTTGTATTAGTCTCTGACATTCAAGGAAACACTATCATCCTTTCTAAGTGTTTAAACTCCCAGCTAAAAACAATACTTAAAGTTCCTCTTGAGACTCCTGGCCACCATGTCACAGGGAAGTTGCACGGGGGACTGAGTATTTGAAGGGCATTCTTAATGGCAAGCTTGAATGAAGTCAACCCCTGGTAACTCAGTGACAGCATCCATGTTACTGTCCTTTTCTTACTTAACAAGCACAAAAGGCCACAGTCAGGCCAACCACTCACACAGGATGAATCTCAATGATATTTTTGCTTCTGAACTTTTCTGATATAAAAGAGCCACCCAAGTAGGATCAGACAGACAGCGTGAGGAATCTGGCAATAAAAACCCATCTGCACAGATCTCAGAAAATCCAAAATGATTAGGTAATGTACCGACTATTTCTGCCAATAGTATTGTTGAATTTTTGTATGTTTTTAAAACTTGTATTTGCTTATGTGAGATTCAAACAGAGCTTTTGTCTTTTCTATTCTTCAGCTCGTTAAAACTCAGCCTCATCTTGTTTCTGTCACTGTCCACGGTGCACATGTTTTGGGCTTATCCAATTCTCTCTTCCAAGGTAAGGGGTTCACTGCTGTTTCTGATGGTTAGGTCAGTGATTGGGGTGGTGGAGTGCCCAAATTCAAAGGAATCTTGAGAAATATGAGACAAAAATATTTCATTTTATTTTAGACCTTTAAAGAAAAGTATGTGTAAAGAACTTCATGAGATTAGTAAGACAAAAATTTATATGTGAAAATAGGCAATTCTGGAATATACTAATTTTTGGTTATGAGCCTAGCTTTTAACAGCTGAGTCATCTCTCCAGCCCTGGGATATACTAATTTATTGTGAATTATTTGGGGGTTGTGTCCTGCATGTGGAAATGGATGTTCCAACATAAAATATTCATAATTTGGTTCATGACAATTCATTTATCCTACATAATCCACTCTTAACCATAGTAAATATTTTGCATTGAAATTGCATTGGTCATTTTTCAGAAGCAGAAATTTCCTAATTTTACCAAAACGTGGACTCTTTTTTCAGGTGAAGAATGTAGGCAACATATTAGATTCCAATGAAATATTGCCTAAGGTATTTACTCATGTGTTTATTCAAGAGTATTTGTAGAGCTTCTCAAGACATTCAGAAAAATGAATGCCTTTCTTTGGGGGTGTTTATATCCCTTCTATGTCATCTGTCGTTGCTTTTATGTCATACCTTTACAATATTAAAATATCCTTGGTTGTTAATGCCACTGTGGACTTTAACTTTGCTTCACTAAAATTTAACCTGTCAGGGTGTAATTACTGAGCTCACCGTAATTTGAGGAACTAGTTTTACGATAAAGAGAGGCCATAGAAATTCCAAGTGACAACTCCTTCAAGCATCATGTTCTAGTCATTTGTATAATCGGTCCTCTCGTTGATCTTCACATCTGTCATTTTTCTATTTCCTGTTTATTTAATACAGCCTCCCTTCTGCCTTTCCCTCCCATGAGCATTCAACATGAATTCACTCATTGATCCTCTAAGACATGGCACTGATCAAGTGGGTGACTCACAATCCACAAATGGGTACAATTTCTCAAGCGTCTTCCTGCTTGCGTTCTAGTCTTTGTTCCTAAAGGAGGTTTTCTCATGGCACTTTGGAACAAGAGGGACTTGTCTGCAGCGGTTTTGAAATGAAGAATTCTTTATTCTGAAGTATACAGAGACTTCCTAGGCCATAAGGCAGCGTTTCTCCTTTCACAGTGGTGCCCGTATTTCTAGCTTTGCCATGAGGACGCTGTTCTCGTCACAGCCCTGCCAGGCAGTAGTGCCGTGGGTGGTATTCATGGCAACCTGGCTGTTTGGGGTGAGTGGTCATGTAGGCTAACCACACAGGATTTCATCGTTTTCCTCAGAGCTTCATGGAGTCCTTCATTCATATAATGGGCTAGCCTACCTGCCTTCAGTTAAGTCCAGCACACTGAGGTCTTTTTAGGGATAGTTAAGGGTCTCATAACCAGCACCAACACTTTTCATTTGTGGGATAGAGGCTGCATCATGAGCATTCTGGAAAGAGTTGATTGCTTCCTTTCTGCATTGATACATGAATCCTTCCTGCTGGACATTTAAAGTAGGTGGCATTTATCTATCATGTTAACACAGGGGAAAACAGAGAGGTGTTAAACTCAGAGTTTTTTATTGGTCTTTAACACAACCAATATTTATGAAACTGCCTTTGACTATTCCCAGATCAAACAGAAAACAACAATAACAACACAGAGGGAGACAGAGACAGAGACACAGAGAAAGACATAAAGATAGAGGGGGAAAATGAAAAGAGAGAGGGAAGGATATATATATATATATACATATATATTTAGAGAGAGAGAAAGAGAGAGAGAGAGAGAAAGAGAATATCTTCTTTCCCCCACACCCATTGGAAAGGTTTGCTTGGGAGCTCTGAGCTCTGGAGATCAGTTATTTACCCAGCCAGGGCGAAGAGTTCCAAAGAGTTTGATGCATTGCAAACGTAATCCCATCACCCAAATAGAGCAACTCAAGGCAAACTTGTTTCCAATACCAGACAACAAAATGTGTAAGCTCTTTTAAGCTTTACTTTGTGCTGTGTCTCTCCATTTCTAGCAAAATGCTTGTGCTCTTGTTCTATTGGAGCTGAGAAACCAGGGCTTGGATCCAGCAGTGTCACCTGCAAGCACATGGTCTCCTCACCAACAGCCAGGGAGCGGGTGGCACTGGCTTCACACAGCTCTTTTCTTTGCCGGGTAAAAATAAGATGAGGCACAGAAAGCGTGTAGCTCAGAGATGGCTTTACCAAGGTCGCTGCTTTGTCGAGGACAGGATTTGGTTAGCACCTTGCCAGTTGTTAGACTTCTGTTGAAGCCATGAAAGGGAAAGACCTGGCAAGTGTCAGCAGCTCCCGCCAGAGTACAGGATCAGTGCTGCCGCTAGGACTTCGCAGCTGTGACCAGAGTGTGACTTTGCTCTGGTGCTTGGCTTCCTCATTCACACACTGTGGGGCTGGACTGCAGCTTCCTTGGGCCCAGTTTGAGCTCTGGGGTTCTGGATTTGTTTCTTGTACCACTCAGCACTGTGATGTGTTATCCAGGCCTTGAGCCATGATGAGGACTGGAACCACAGCCAGAAGCTGAAGGTGTCAGGGTCACTCATTGGTACCACTTTCAGGAAACCTAGGTAGGTAGCCATAGACAGTCCAGAAAGTTCAGTGCTTTGACAAAACTAGAGTTGGGTCACACTGGGTGGGTGCCTGGGGGAATTTCTTTTAGCTAATTTAATTTTGAAACTAGCTTATAAAGTGGCAGGTTTCCTTATGGAATTTCTATACATACTTAGGGCAATAGAAACTTTTGAGACAGGGGTATCATGCAACACAGGCTGGCCTAACCTCACTAAATTTTAGTGAGTATTTTTTTAAGTTTCAAGTTTCAAAAAATGATCTTAAACTTCTTTTTAAAAATTTTTAATGGTTTTTTATTTGTATTTATGTCTGTATGAGGTATGCTGGAGTTACAGACAGTAGTTAGCTGCCGTGTTGGTGCTAGGAATTGAACCCAAATACTCTAGAAGAGCAGCCAGAGCTCTTAATTACTGAACTGTCTCTCCAGTCCTGACCTTAAACTTCTTATCCCCCTGCCTCCACCTTCCAAGTGCTGAGATTTCAGGTGTGTCACATCATACCCAGTTTATGCAGTGCTGGGGGCTGAACCAAGGGCTTTGGGTATGCTAGTCAGTGCCCTACCAAGTGAAACTCATTCCTAGACCCGGATGCATTTTCAATAGCATTCCTAGGACTTCAAACATTCCTTACAAAATAATGGCAAGGTGACCATCATGTGGAATACACAGTACCAATGCTGAATGACAGAATGAAAGGTAGACAAGCCAGTTGTAACCCAGACACTATCTATGTTAAGTACATGTTGTGTTTTAGCACCGTTTCTCACCATTAAGAAGGTGAGACATAGTGACTTCATAGTCATAAAGGTTTTGAAAATCATTACTGTTGACATAAACTTTTTTACCCAGAAGCTGTATCCTCTCCCTCCTGCCCCTTCTAAATCACCAGGTGCCTGGGAGACCTGATTACTTTCTCATCCTGCTGAGCAGCTGCCCAAGCAGGCTGGAGAGAAGCCACGGACTAACTTTCCTAAAGCCAGTTTTGGAGAAGACATCAATGAAAAGATCCTTTCGCAATGGAGTTGGCTCAGGGGTGAAAAAAACTTCATTTCGAAGAGCAAAGCAATGAATAAGTGTGCAAAGGACTCTAGGAATTAATCTCAAGCTATGTAGAGTGTGACTGATGTGCTAAAATCTGTTGTATGCTACCCTGAGATGTTGCTTCCCTCCTCATCCTCAGATGCCCTCTTCCCCTAACAGGCTCAGAGTAAATTAAGTTTTGGGGGGGAAATGCAAACCTGTCTCAAACTTCCACCTGTGAGTGAAAAATGATTTCTGTGCTTGGCTAGTTACTTCCCCAAATGCGGAGGGACACACTGACTTTGATCTTGAATTGGCCACAAGGTTGTGGGCGTTTTTACTGTCATAGTAGTGTGACTCTTCTCCTGTTGCCTTGCTGTGCTGTAACACCAAATGCAGTGGTAGATATATGCTATTTCTCCTTTAAACACAATTTTCTCAAATGACTTAGCCAAGCCGATTCTTCAGGGCTGTGCTGCTTCTGTTTGTAAAAGAGTCTCATGAAATTACATCGTGAAGATGATGGTGCAGCTGAATCCATCTGTCAATTAAGGGGTACCTGCAACAAGTGATCAATCCCCAGAGCCCTCTGGGTCTGTTTATCCTCCTCCTTTTTCTGATTCCAAATATACATAAAGATGGCGAATTGTTTTGTCTTGGAGAATTTGTTTTGTCTTCACTTTTAAGACATGGAATGGAATACTGCCAGTCATAATGGTGATACCAGAGAGCTGGCTGGTGTTTGTGTGGTAGGGGGTACATTTCCCAAAACTTTGCTGGTGAATGATCCCACACCCATTCTTGCCAGGCCAGGCCAAGTACTATTCCCTGGATACTCTTGCTACTGATGGGTTTGTTTGTTTGGGTTTTTTGTTTTGTTTTGTTTTTTGGGAAATGCAGGGCTGGGTTGTTAGTGGCTTGGTGGGTAAATACTGATGATACAAGCATGGACATCTAGATCTGTATCCCTGGAACCTGTACAAAGAACCAGAGGTGGCAATATATGGTTGTCACTTCAGTGCTGAGGAGGTAGAGGAGGGAAGATGATTGGGGCTTATTGGCCAGGGAGTCTAACCAGATATCGAGTTCCGAGTTCAGCTAAAGACCCTGCCTCAACAAATAAGGTAGAGAGCAATAGAAGAAGCAGCTTGAGGTTGACTTCCTACCTCCATAAGGGCACAGACACAGACACACACACACACACACACACACACACACACACACACACACGGGAGGGGGGACAGGCAGGCATTGATTGAGGAGTTGCTTCCAAAGTGTAAATATAATGAACATGTTTATACACATTGGACTCTGGAATATGTTGTAGGTATTCTTTGAATTCCTCACACAGATGTCACACCACCAGCTTTGAAAGTTAAAGAAGGACCCTGCCCTTGGTCACCATCTTCAGATAGAAAACAGTCTTCAGGAACTGGAGCTCACGGTGAGCTGGTCCCACGGTGGCCAGGCAGGTCTGCTCAACCTGCTGTCTGTGAGTGCATCAGCCTTTAGATGTGTCAGATTGGAGAAGGTTCTAAGAACTGGCCTGAAAATAGCAGGTTTTGCAAGGCCTTCTGGTGCTTGCCCGTGCCTGCTGTAAAATGGAGATGCTTCCCGGTTCACGTGTGTTCACTTTACTCTTGCTGTCCAGAGACATGGGCAGTAATTCAGATAGGAGTAACATAACGATATGCGCACTTGTTAAAGGGGCTTTGAAGGATCTAGGAACCTCAAGGAAACACCTTTGGGAAGCACAGAGGAAACGTCCAAGAATGGACAGTCTCCTGTGCTGTTGTGTGTATCTACCTGAGACCAACTGTCCCTGGTCTCCTCCCAGCAGCTGTGCCCTTGTAGACCCAATGGTGTGTAGACTATGCTCTTCCAAGGTTTGCATCACTCTGTGACCTCCCCATTCCGGTGCCTAATATCTGGGCCTTCTCCTTCGCGTTCCTTTTGGGGACAGGTGAAGGGGGAAAGTAGAAAAGTGTCTGCTATCAAAGGATCAGAGCAGACTGCACACAGGCAGACAGGGAAGTTCTCTTTCAGGAGAAAGTTAAATGCTTCTTGCCCAGGTTCCTGGAATGAAGTGTTTTCAACTAAACGACAAAGATGTGGCTGAGGAAGGTCACTTAAACCTTTGGGGAGTGTGAACCTGACGCAGTGAATTGATTTTGGTCACAGATGCAAGCAAGGCCACGGGGGTGGAAATGAGAAGGTGCCCGTGACCTTCAGCCCTTCATAACCAAGGGTGTTGATGGAGGCCAACATTTTGCTTGTGTAGCTGGAGGCTCTGGAAGCCCTTTGAACACTAACATCCCACAAGACAAATGAGTTGTTACTTATTTCCCTCTGACTTACCTGAACAGGATAGAGTTTTATGTTCTACTGGAGAATTTTAGTGAACTGAAAGAACAAGAGTCATCGGGAGCCATACGTACCTGGCGAGAGAAGATGCTGGTGTGGAGGAGTTCAGCACAGAGCTAACAAGGGAGACAGGAGAGCCAAGATCTCAGGCTGACCCCAAAGCCCATGACCACACTTCCTTGGTTTTGCCACATCACCCCAGTCTCTAGAATTCTTCGAACTCTAAGATTCCCCAGCAGGAGTAATTCATTTGTTGGGGAATCACTGGTAATTCATTTGCTCAAAAATATTTGCTGAGCTGGTACTGTACTCAGACATAGTGTTCCAGACACTGGGAATGCAAAAGTGAAGAAAATAAATCAAAACTCTTGGACAAAGTGGAGATGTATACAACATACATGTAAAATAGCATGAGGAGGGTGCTCCCTGTAAAACAAACAAACTGGCAGGAATCAACCAGGGAAATTAATATTTTTTGTGTATCTAGCGTTATTGATAGGGAAGCTAATTTAATAGATTAGTAGATATTATTTAACATGTACATATATATAGATTATACTCAATGCATACATGAAATGAATAGTACATATATTCAGATAGCATGTACATGTACATTTTTAAAATTATTTTCAATTATGGAGATGTAGGTAGTATCTTAGATGACGGTAACAAGAAGCAGTGGGACTGACAGAGGAGGATTGTGAGATAGGAGCAAGAAGACAATTTCGGGTACAGTTGTTTGGGAAGGTAACTTCAGGGGAGATTAGAAGACAGAAAGTGTACGGAGACCAGAAAGGTAAGAGGGTCTCTGAAGGATCTCATAAGACTGTCACTTTTCCTGTGAGGGACACAGGGAGGCATTGGAAGGTTTCCAGCAGACCTGTGTCTTGGCCTTGCTGGCTTTATACATGTGAGACATAGAATAGTGCTCTGGTCAGTTTTAACACCAGTAGCAGTTAGTCACCACAGGAAGGAGGCCCAGTGACACAGACTATCTTCCCTCCGTGCCTGCTCCCCTTATGTCCTCAGAATAGCCAAGCTGGTGGTAGGTTTCTTTTGTTTGTTTGTTTTCACACAGGGTCTAACTGTATAACCCTCACTGGCTGGCTTGGAACTTGCTGTGTAGACCAGGCTGGCCTCGAACTCACAGAGATTCGACTGCTTCCACTTCCTGGGTACTGTTATTAAAGGTATGCACCACCATAGCTGGCAGAAACAGCCCAGCTGTGATATGACTGGTGCCAGATCCTGAGTAGGGACACTGGGCAATATCCAAGGTGTTGAAGGCAGTTGGAATGGCAGGAATTCCCGACCTCTTCCCCGACCCTCCTTCCTCTCACCCCTACTCCCCTGCTCTTTCTCTGATTCTCTTCGACTCTTGGAAGACAGCAGGATTCCTGCAGAGCTCAACATCTTTTTATTCTCATGGGCTGTGAGGAACAGCTGGCTTCAGGTAGGGGCCAGTAGAGACAGAGTAAAGAATAAAGAGCAGAAAAGACATCCAAGGGCACAGTTGGAGATGATAGACATGCTGGGAGGTCCAGGATGCATTAGCCAGGATGAAAGGTAACCCCTGAGGAGGGACCACAGAAGCAAGTAGACAATGAGTGGATACAGTTCAAACTCAAGAGTCAGAAGTTACAGAGCAGTGTCCTGTGCACCAACCTACAGGGAGCCGGGAGCTCTGTGCTCCCATCCACTACGCGACTTTGCACATCCTTGGGCAAGCAGTTCGGTAATTATCAGAGTGACTTATGGTCACTGCCAAGAAATGACATTAGCTGGAGTCGTGCTTCCTGCCTCCATGATGGAAACCCTCCAGGTACATAAAAGAATTATGGGTTATGGCTCTTTTATAGTCTTGAAGTGAGATGTGCAGCTCAAGCTGATGCAGAGTTCTGTTCCAGGCTCCCATGAGGTGTGCTACGCGACAGATAGCATGTGCGTCACAGGAGCCTCACTTTCCTTAGGTTTATAAGCACCGACTTTGCGGTCAGGCACACCCCAGCTCAAATGGCATTCACTCAGCAAACTTAGGCAGGTCCCCAGATCTTTCCAACCTCAGCTTCCTCATCCATAAAAATACAAGCCAAAGTGATACCACAATAGGATCTCAGAAAGGAAAAAGTAAAATAGATGCTATACACGCAGGGGCATCACTGCCAGCCTGGATTGCTGTTGACTAAAAGACATGAATGTCTAAATCATAATTATAAACAACATTGATGGGGAACTAGAGGCAGATAATGGTCATTGACGCAGACACGTGAAGTGGATATTATTCTAAATATTGCCCCAAGGAAAGTTCTAGCCTAAGATGGTGCCAGCATGTCTGATTCCCCAGAGAAATGTCCTACATTCTTTGGAAGTCATAGATTAAATGAAGCTCACTGAGGAACTGCATGTATAATTAGGTGACAGTCATGCCATACCTAACCACACAGACCTTTGTCTTCGAATCAGCCTGCACTGCACAAGAGAAGTCAAGCTCGGTGGCAATTGGCTCAAAATGATAAGTCGTGGTCAATAACTAGCGGTCCTACCCCCATGTCCAATCAGAGCAGAAGAGAAAGCCAAATGTGCACTCTGCTCACCTTGAGCTAGTCCCCCTCTGGCTCCTCCACACCAGTCTCCCCATCTAGAGGTCCCCCGAAGCCCTTCTCTTCCCTCCTGCAGCCTCACTCCACTGCCTGCCTTTGAGCCTCTACCAAGCATGATGCTGATGCCCTTGCCATGGGGTGTTCAGTGAGTAGCTCCTGTTTGTTTGTTTGTTTGTTTGTTTGTTTTTCAGGGGTTGGAGGAGGTCTCTGTTTTGACACCATGGATAGTCAGGTGACACAGACCAGGAAAAGCTTGAGAGAAACCCTATAGTGTAGAAGAATCAAGAAATGCTGGAGACTCTTTCTGTGTCACAGTCCTGTGACCAGTCAGCCCACTGAGTCTCCCTCATAGGCATGGGTGCAAAGATGAAGGTGTAAAGCCCAGACTTTTGCTGACCTGTCAGAAAGAAAGATTCTTTCCTCCAATATTCTGGAGCTGTGAGGACAAGGACATCCATTTTTCTGTGACAAATGAAGGAAACTTTAGACAGTAGAGAGTAGGGATTCAGGAAGATAGCAGTCCATGAAAACATGGGCTGGCGTCCTGGAGGCCTTCATACGTTGTCTCATCTCCTCTTATCGATTGTTGTCTTGAACATCTCTGAGTGGAGGGCTCTGCAGCAGGCAAAGAGGGTTCCCGGAACTCTACTAACTTTGAGAGAACCTCACAGTC